TACAGTGTATATTGACAAAATAAAAATTTTAAAAATAAAAAAAATAAAAAAATAAAAAAAAGATCTACAAAGGACCCGCTATAACACTTCCGAGAGTGGGGTCAAACCTTCATGCTGAAATGTTCAGGAAGACTTCATTAAGAAGTATATTACAGAATATTACAATCAGAGGGACCTTAGAAAATATTCATTTTAATCCTATAACTTAACAGATAAGAAAAGAGAAAAGAAAAAGCCCTCATAGGAGGAATAGCAACTTACTCAATATCACACAGAAAGTTACAAAACCAGGACAAGAAAGGTAGGTCTTTGGATTCCCAGTTTACTTCTTTTCCATGACACTACATTGCCACTCTGAGCTTAACAGGACTTGAATAGGCAAAGACAGGGGAAAGCATACTGGCAAAGATCAGAGGCCGGAATGTGATACTGATAAGAAGGTATGTTTGGGGAACAGTGTTTAATTTATCTGAGGACAAGAGCCTGAAGGGAGAAATGAGACACCGGCTGAAAGCAGAGTAGGATTAGACAATGGAGGACATCAAATTTCAGTCTGAGACAGTTTAGACTTTTTCACTAGATAATTTAATGGACATAGATAGGAGAATTTACTTACAAACTACGAGTTTCTTCAACATTGGGACTATCGTTTGACACTGATGGTCTGTGAGGTTTACAATGAAAGAACAGAAAACCCTTTTGATATGAAAAAGGCCAGCTAAACATAGCAAACTTACACTGACACAATTTTCCTTTGTCAATCCTTCTTTCTCCAAAGTGGAGGGTAGCAGAAAAAAGGTAGAAGGTAGACACAGTGATCTATCTGCTGATCACATATGGAGTTTGTGATAGGACTGATAAGTAGAAGTTTGTGATGCCCCATACCTCTTGCCTTGCTCCTTCCTCCTGAGGATCTTTAATCTATAGGTTCTATCCATCTGGTTCCTGAACAAACCCTAGACAGGCTTGAAAACCTGTGGGATCGCCCATCCTCACCAGATGCTGGTGGCTAACCACGTGCCTATAGTGCTGTAGCTGCTCTTCTCTACACCCTACCCATCCCACTGCCCAGCCTTTTGCTCTAGTGTCTTGATCCCTTCTTTGGGACTAGAAACAGACGAGAGGTGGCAAACCAGATTTCACACCAACATTTGTATAACACTCTAGAATAAATTCAAAACACTGTCACAGCCTCTTTTTCATTTATCATAAAGCAGAAGCAATCATCTATTCTACCTTAGCTCTCACCCTGCATAGCTCTCCCCAATCCTCCAGAGGTTACAATATGCTGCCTTTCTCTCTGGTTACTGGCTAGGCTCTAACTTCAGAATTTTAACCTAGACAATCTCCCTGAAATCCTGACTCTATTACCTGCTCAACTCTAAGTACCGTCAGCCCTTTGTATTTGTGGATACAACCATCTGCGGATTGAAAATACACAAAAAGAAAATTTGCGTCTGTACTGAACATGTGCAGACATTCTTTTGCTTGTCATTATTTCCTAAACAACACAGTATAACAACTCTTCACATAGCATGTACATTGTATTAGGCATTAAGTAATCTAGAGATGACAAAGTATACAGGAGGATGTACATAGATTACATACAAATACTGTGCCATTTCATATCAGGGATTGAGCATTCTCATATTTTAGTATCCTCAGGAGGTCCTGAAAGCAATCCCCCATGGATACTGAGTGATAACTTTATTACCAATAAACTCCCACTGCATCCCATATGCCAAACCTTTAGGGCATCAATACCACCTGAGATATTACACCTCATATCTTAACCTTTAAGGACCCTCCTTTTGAAAGCCTGCTCCTCAGAAAAACTATTCCTCAAGCTTCAGCTCTGTATATTCTTGGTCTATTCTCTTCACCATGCTGATCTGCTGCTGAGGTGCCAGCAGTCTCTGTGTCTAAAGCCATTCAGGTGACGGCAGAAGTTCTGAAAAGGACACACCATATGTACCAGGATTTTACTTATAAAAAGTTTGTGACGCACTCTGAGCTATGTAAGACTTAAAAGTCCCAGAGTCATTGTTTTTCAAAGTGAGATGAGAATTTGACTTCCTGGGTTTCAATATCAAGGACTATTAACTGATCTCCATCCTCCCACTCTGGTATATAATAAACTCATCAGGAAAAATAATTTTTCAGTAATGAAAAGTAAGTAGGACTTTTCAAAGAGTGAGAAAAAAAAGGCCATAAATAATTTATTGTTCTATTTTTAATTCTTATTTAGGAAAAATGAAGTGAGAAAATATTAAAGTACTTTTTAAACTATACAGTGCTATACAGATTTTATTTTTAACTGGCAGAACTGTGTGAAGTACTTTCCATGCATTATCTCATGTCATCCTTACATTAGCCTAATAGAGTACATCCTACTTCCTCCCAAGTTAGACATCAGGAAACTGAGCATTAGTAAAATAAGCAATTTGCCCAAAGTCCTACAGCCATATGTAGAAGTGTGACTATTAAACCTCTAGCCAGTTAACTTCGAAGCCTGTTCACTCAACCAGTAAAGCACTCAACTGGCCCACTTTTATATTTAAAAAAATCAACACTTTAAAATTATAAGTTTGAGGGGCTAAATATATAAAGAATAATTATTGTTTTTACAAGTACAAAAAAAGAAAACAATAGAGCCCAAAGGTCTTCCAAAAGCTTGTTACCCTTAATTTAAGACCACTTTAAAAAATCAAAAATGCTGTTTGCTTCGGGTCTGATAATTCAATTGAGAAAAAGTATCAGACCCTCTAAATATAAAATATCTATCCACTCCCTCCATAAACACAGATAGAATATCTACTACGTAGCAGGTAGCATGCTAGGAACTGAGAATAGAGATAAACAAGAGAAACATGGTCCCGACCCTCAAGGAGCATACAGCCCAGTTGGGAAGACAGTTATTCTATATGTAAATACAGTTCCATATGACTAGTGTAATAAAAGGGAGACAGAAGGGAGTGGAAGCAGGGGAAACCAAACTCAGCTAGGGACAAGGGAAGGCCTCCCTTCCAGGAGTTAGGAGCACAGTATGTGGGAATGGGATAGGGAGTGCTCCATGCAGAAGGAAGAGCATGCATCAAGGACCCGAGCACATAAGAAACTGAAGGAAGTTCAGAGTGGCTCAAGCCAACACAGAGTGAGAGAAAGAAGGGGCCAAGGTTTAGGACTACAGAGATGGGCAGAGGCTGGATCCTGCAGGACTATATGTCACACTGAAGACTTAGACTGTATCTTAGGGCAATGGGATGCCAATTTAAGCAAAAAAGAGAGGCCTGATCAGATTTTAGTTTTGTGAGTATCAATCTCGCTGCAGAGTGGAGAGCAGATCAGGGTGGGCATAAGATGGGGTAGAGCTATGGTGGGAAACTATTGCTGTAATCCTGGCAATAGGTGATGATGAACAGGGCTGTGGTGATGGATGTGGGCAAGAGTAGATCCTTATGAGGTAGAATGGACAGAACTCACGGGAGATTGAACAGGAGTAATTTAAGGCTTTAAGGTAATCTTTTGATTAAATTTGTCATTTAATTGGGGGTAGGGGGAGATTATTTCTAAAAACTTATTCTGACAGGAAGAAGAAACTTACTGCTTTGAAACTGTTACAATCACTTATTCATCGGTACCTGGGTTTCACCCGTAACTCACCTGATTACCAACCAATAATAAGTGCTCTCCAAGGAGAAAGTCTTTGAACATATCTTCCATCACCATCATGTGCTAGAGAAGAAAGAACGAGAAGTTAATGGTGTTTTGCACAATCAAGGTGAAATAAGAAAATTAACTGTTAAGATATCTTTATGGAATGTAAAACATTTATGATAGACAACACTCAAAAGATTTGTTTTTTAAAAAAACACAAAATTAATGCTTGGTTATAAGTAAGTTACATAACCAGTTAGGCCACCGATATGGAAAACTTGAAATAGTCCACCTGAGCAAGACCAAGCCACTGACCAATATTTCAAAGACTTTTTATAACTCAAATATTTTTTACCCATTAAACTATGTAGAATTGGCTTATAATTTAATATGTTTAAATTTATTTTTGCTAATACAAATATACAAATGCTTCCTAAAATAACTGAAGATTTCCATGGAACATTTTACACTAGCTTTTTCTTTTTTTAATTAAATTAAATTTATTTATTTATTTATTTATTCATTCATTCATTCATTTCATTCATTCATTTATTATGAATATTAATGAGATACAAAGCTGACTGTCCCCCCTCTGCCCATGATGTGGGGGCCAGATTCATACTGGAGGCATAACCATTACCAGAAATTACTTTTGTACCCTTTGTTCCCTCCCAATTATCCTGCAACCTCCCTCCTCTTCCCCCTCTCCCCTCAACTCCTATTTGTAGCCCTAGGAATGTTCCCTCCCTCTGTTGGATCATGGCACTACTGTGTTCTTTCTTTCCTGCCTTCCTTTCTCTCTTAGCTCCCGCATATGGTATTTATCCCTCTGTGCTTTGCTTGTTTCACTCAACATAAGTTTCTCCAGGTTCATCCATGTTGTTGCAAATGGGAGTTTTTCTTTCTTTTTTATGGCAGAGTAGTATTCCATAGTGTGTATATATACAGCAGAGTAGTATTCCATAGCGTATATATACCACAGTTTCCTTATCCAATCATCTACTGATGGACATTTAGGTTGGTTCCATATCTTGGCTATTGTAAACAGAGCTGCAATAAACATGGAAGTGCGGGTATCTCTTTGACATGATGATTTCCATTCCTCTGGATATATACCTAGAAGAGGGACTGCTGGATCATATGGAAGATCTATCTGTAGTTGTTTGAGAAACCTCCAAATTGTTTTCCAAAGTGGTTGTACTAATTTACAGTCCCACCAACAGTGTAGTAGTGTTCCCTTCTCTCCACACCCTTGCCAGCATTTGTTATTCACCGTCTTTTTGATTATAGCCAACACTAGCTTTTTCTTAATCATTACTTTCGAAGCTATGTACAGCTTTATAATTAAAAATATATTATTTACCTTCCATACTTTTTTATTAGAATTATAATACAATACAATAAGAAAAACAAGATTAATGTTGTCCACAATAGCCACAGAGGAAATTACATTGCTCTTTCGTATCCTGAAAAATAAGACACCCATAACTAGGTCACAAAGGCTCACTGCGGTCTGGGGGTAGACATACATCCCAGCATAACTGACCTCTTTTATTTTCTCTTGGTTTTCTGTATCAAATCAATAATAGCCTCATAAGCACTGAAGTTATTGAAGTTCTCTATTTGTAAAAGGCAAATTAATCTTTTGCATTTAATATATGCTGCAGATAATTTTTTAGTGTGTCATTTGCTTTTCCTTTTTTTAAACTTGGTTTATGATTTTTTTTTTCCGACATCCGAAAGTCTTTACTTTTATTTGTCAAATTTAGCAATGTTTTCTTTCAGAGTTTCTTTCTTAGAAAGAAAAACTGAAAAAGTCATTTCCTTATTCAAGGACAAATGAGTATTCCCTGATGTTTATCATGCTAGTTTTTATTTTTTGAAATGCTTTCAGATACACCATGGAGCTGGAGTTTTAAAAGGCTTGAATAATGTGAGTGTATCTACTTATTGTCTATTTGGGAAGACTTTTAAAGAATAAAAAGAGACACTATTAATAATTACACTGAGACAAGTGTAAACAGAGACTATCTTAAGGAAACTGAGATGTATGGTTACCCTATAAAAGGGAATCCTAGAACATCATTTTAAACCAGGTTCTGGTGGTGATACAGTCTGGAGACCTCTTCCTTTTAACTAGGATGAAAAGTCAGTGCCAATTTCCAGACAGCGCTAAGTTCTTCCAACAAAAAATGGGCTAATCTGCATGAGGAATAGATAGAAAAGTTTGAATGAGTTTAAACTGCATAGCTAAGTTTAAAAGAAAAGCCAAAAGTAAATAAAAATAAAAAATAATCCAAACTATATTTGTATTCTTAACTTCTTTACAATTCTCATGTCCTTCTTCTTCACGCCCTCATTACAGCTAACTAGATTATTCAAATCAAAAAACATTAGCTAAAGCTAAGGTCACTGCCAAAATAATTCTTAGCCTCTTGATTCACTTAGCACTGCATACAATTTCTTAAAAGTCTGCTTTCCCAGTTGTCTTTCTCCTGATTCCTTCCTACCACTCTAACAATTTCTCTCCATAGTCTTTTGGGCTGGATCTTGTAGCAATTCCTTAAATACTGGTTTTCCTCACATTTCTTTGATTTGTCCTGTCTTTTGCCTTTTTATGTGCTTTCCTTTGGGGTCACAGGATAGGGCAGAGCAGATTGTGCCTGCTTATATAACACAAGTAACCACTGAGGGGTGAGGGCTGTGTGCAGATTTGGGGACCTGCTTGTCAGCATTCAAAGAGCTACCTCTGACTCTGTCCTCCCTAAATCCTGTCATTCACCTCATAGCTTCAAATGCCACTCTACACTAATTTTCAATAGCAACACATTGCTCTTCAACTCCAGTCCTGTATTTCTGAGTGACGACTGAACCATTTAGTTATTCACCAGTCTCCTAAACTCAGCATACCTAAGACTCAGCTCACTGCCTTCTCCTAAACTTCATTCTTTATCCTGTTTCATTTTTCCATATTAGTAGCATTATTTTCTACCACCTGGACAAACCTCCATCATCATCACTACTCTGCCTGCCTTACTCCTCTCTTATCAAGATCCATTTAAACACCAAGTCTTAGCTGTTAAGCCACCAAAGGTCAACAGTATCTATCCTTTTTATCTATCCCTTCAGCTTTGATACAGGTCTTTATCATCTTTGGTCTAGATTTTTATCAGCCAATTTAGCTTCTCTAACTTCAGTCTCTCCCTGAGCCAACATGTTCTTATAGTACACAGTGTTCAAAATCTGGTCACTTCATTTTTCAAAAGTCCTTGAATACCTTAAGAACAAAAGTCATTCCTATGTCCTTGATCTAGTCTCAGGCTCATCTCCTACCACTTTCCTTCTCCTACACTGTGTTCAAGTCATGGGCACAATTTAGAATATTTTTTCTCTTTACTTTTCTACTAGACTATGTACTCCCTGAAGGAGAATCTCGTTCATCTAACACAAAGTTCCACTCACTCTATCACCTAAATAGGCCTACAATATGTCCTTTTCACCCAGTCTCCACTGTCAACCACCTTAGTTGAGATCCTTCATAACCTTCACCTGGACTATTGCAATAGCCACCTAACTAGTTTCTCTTTGCCTTGGTTCCAACTTCTAGACAACATTAAAGAGTAAATGCAACAGGAAAAAGCCATTTCTACGTAATCCACTTCATAAAATTGGGAAAAGCAAATACTCAATTAGATGTGCAGATATAAATGTAGAGACACAAGAAAGATGAAAAATCAAGAAAACATGACATCCCCAAAAGAACACAACAAGTCTCCAGTAACAGATGCTGAAGAAAAGCACAGTTACAAAATGCCTTTATAAAGGAATTTCAGATAACTATTTTAAGGAAACTCAATGGGATTCAAGAGAATACAGAAAAATATTTCAATGAAATCAGGAAAACAATTCATGATCTAAATTAGAAATTTAATAAAGAGATAGATACCATAAAAAGAACCAAACAGAAATTTTGGAGCTGAAGAATTCAATGAATGAAATTTAAAAATTCACTTAAGAGCTTAAATAACAGACTAGATCAAGCAGAAGAATTTCTGAACTTGAAGACAGGTTTTGTTGAAATACCCAACTCATAGGAAAAGAAAGAAATAACAAAAAAAGATTAAAGAAAGCCTATGAGACTTCTGGGACACCATTTAGCAAACAAATGTTCAAATAATAGGTGTTCCAGAGGGAGAAGAGATGGAGAAAGGCACAGAAACACTATTTAATGAAATAATAGATGAAAACTTCCCAAGTACCGGGAGAGATATGGACATTCAGATTCGGAAAGCTCAAAGGTCCCCAATTAGACTCAACCCAAAAAGATCTTTTCCAAGGCACATCATAATCAAACCGTTAGAAGTCAAAGAAAAAGAGAGAATTCTAAAATCTGTAAGATAAAATCATCAAGTCATATGTAAGGGAATCCTGATTAGACTGTCAGCAGAAACCTTGCAGGCCAGGAGAGAATGGGATGATATTTTCAAAGTGCTAAAAACAAAACAAAACAAACAAACAAGCAAACAAAACCTGTCAGCCAAGAGTACTTTATCCAGCAAAGTTATCCTTCAGATACAAGGGAGAAAAAAAAACCTTCCCAGACAAGCAGAAGCTGAGGGAATTCATCACTGCTAGAAAAGCCTTACAAGAAATGCTTATGGGAGTGCTACAACTGGAAATGAAAAGATGATAATTACTATCATGAAAACATTAAAAAGTACAAAACTCAGAAGATATGGTACATTCATTATTCAAACTCAGAGATAAATTCATAACTCAAACTCAGAATACCCCCATGAAGTAATGGTACTAGGTAAATACTTTGATCCTCTAGTGTAAAGGCTTGAAGTAAAAACAGTCAAAAACCAACACCTACAATGAGTGGCTAAGGAATACACAGTAGATACAAATGTAAATTAAGGCAACAAACATAAATTGCTGGTAGACAGGGGAGTCTAGAGTATTTTCATGTGACCAGTGTTAAAAGCTGCTATCAGCTGAAGGTAGTTTATTATAACTACAAGACTCTTTGTATTAGCCTCAAGGTCACCACAAAAAAAGAAATTACAGTGGACACA